GAAAGGGAGCCGGAGAGTATCCCTTTCCATTTTTAACCACTTTCATCGCATTACGTGTCATTATCTATTAGTAATATCAGCTTAGATTTTTGTTTAAGTGTGAAATTTGAAGGTTTTTTTAGATATTTTTTGTTGTACGTTTTTTCTAATTTTTTTTCTTTTTTTTTTTTTGGATTTTTTATCATGGGATTAATCCTGGCTGTTGAATTTTTCAAAATTTTAATATCAAATACGCCACAAAGTGCCACGTGGCACAACATCATCTTTTTAAATTTCTTTTATCGTTTGAAATTTAATGGTTCGGATCAACAAACTGTTGAAAATCCAATAGCTATGGGGTGCCCAAATTGGAGCTGTTTGGTTCACTTCAGTGTACGGGGTTGGGGCCAGCCTTCTGCTACTTGACGTCAGGCACATCGTTACTTATTGCCAATGGGTTGCAAGGGTAGTTCAACAAGCTTCTTGGAGCCCCCCAATTGCCTGCCCAATTTGGCACCGATGGACCATCATTTTTTTTGTCAAGGGCAATTTAACCCAATTGCCTGGTGTGGCAAGAATTATGATGAGCATGGTAGAATTTTCAGCAATGGAGTATACACCTAAAATAGTCGGGAAGAAGCTGTATTATGTCTTTTGTTTGAACTTATAATTTATACAAATGTTTTGTAGGATAATGTTATATTGTCAAACAATATTTAAATGCAACATTGTCAAAACAATTTTTGGAACGACAGACTATTTAATTTTAGAGAGTTTTAACGAAACACTCCGGTATTGTTCACTTTTAACAAAAAATCACATTTTTACCTTTCTCTGGTACTATTCACTACACATTTATTTGTCATTTTTCATTAAAACTAAAGTTTTTTTTGAATTTTTCGTTAGTTTTCCTTTAATTTTAAAATCAATTTTAGAGCAACCCCTCATAAAGCTTTACTTATAGTTGTACTTTTGTTGTGGGTGGGTTTTTTTTTATTTTTTATTTTGGGGGGTGGGGTTGGGTTTCCCTTATTTTTTGGGCTAGCTACATGCACAGTAGAAAAGCTACCCTATTTGGAGTCAACATCTTCTCCAGATTTTTGTTTTTGAAGTTCAAGAACTCGGATATCCAGGTAGTTAAAGAGAGTGAGATCTGAACTCGTGGTTTGTGTAAAGAAAACCAGTAGAATGAGCTAATGAGAACCGTATGATTTAAAATGAGTACTCTGGATCTCTATGTTTATCAGCTTCGAATATAGAGATCAAGAGAAGATCTCCCTTATTTGGTGCAGTTCATTTAACGGGAAGCTTCATCGAATCACAATAATATGCAAGGGTACAAAATGATTGAAAGGAGCCCTCCTAAATTCGCCTTTTGACCTAATTATGTGAGGGTGGTGGTGGTGATTAGAATTCAATTAAACTCCATACGTTTTGGAGGTTTTCATTTAATCTTGCAAGCATACATACTTAATAGTCGATAGATTTTGGCCTAGGTTTCGTGGATCTCGCATCGACGGCTTCGAGGACACCACCTGGGTGATCTGTCACTCCAGCAACCTTCACCATCGATGACCACCACCAAAAGACTTCTCTTAAGGTCATGAACAAACCCCAAACCAGTTTGGAGGTAGCGGAGTAACAGAGATGGCGAATTGAAGTACACCTATTTTTAAGGTTTCCGACGGATCGAGGGTGTTTTCAGGAGTTTCTCAGCCGAATTGGACTTCGACCCATGTATGAAAGTTCTTCCCCTTGATGAGCTCTACATTCCTGTAAAATTTGGTAATTTTTGGAGTTGGTTGGAAAATTGGGTTTTTGTTGCTGGAAACTGCCACATGCGGCGGTGCGTGGCCTTTTGGGCCACCGTCCCATGGCGGCTAGTGCGGCGGCACGTGGGGTGGGATGGAAGAACCCGAGGTCCCTCCTTAGGGTTTTCGACGTGCCGAATTCGAATCTGCTGTCTGTTTTCCCAAATTCGACCATTTTAGTAGAGTTTTATTAAATGATCTCTATTTATGTTTAGGTGGTCGGTGGGAAGTGACACCTTCCTCTCTAGTTCTAGCGGTTCCCGTGCAACAAAATATATGTGAGTGGAGCCCTTCTTAACTTGCATGTTTTTATAAAATACTAGGCGCAAATTCACAAAAAGCATGATTTCATGATTTAACGTTTTATGCATTATTTATGATTTATCGAGTTTACATTTTACGAAAGATTAGGAATGATTGGATTTTCATATATGAAATTATACGGATTTACGCATATGTTTTATTATGGATTTATGCGATGATGCTTTAAGCTTTTGAGCTCCGGTGATTTGATACGAGTTTTTGAGATATGTTTTCGATGCTTATCTAGTGGGTTATCATACAACACATCCACACAACACGGGTATGTAGACGTCTATGGCCATAGGACACAGTTGAGGATATTTATGTCATACTCCCAGCTTCATTGACGAAACCAGTGTCGGACAACTTCACTAACCACAGCTAGTGTCAGTGAGTGATGTTACATGTATATGTTTCTTCTTTGGCATATCCCAGAGTCGTACAACTTCACCTTTGGGTGATGGATATGTTATGCCTTAGGGAGACTATGATACCCCTAGTGAGTACATCATTGATGAGATTTACGGATTTGCCTTCGGGCGGCGATATCAAATTTATTGAGCATTGTTTTATACGTACATATTTTACGAATGTTTTCATGGCATGTTAGAGTTTTCGGAAAACCTACTATGTAGTACTATATATGTGTTTTCAAAACAGGGGGTTAGTATGTTCAGAAAGAAAATGGTTTTCTTATTATTAGTATTAGTATTATAAACTTTGGTCCACTCACCCTTTGTTTTGTGGCCCCTTTAGGAGTTAGAGTTGCGGCATTCGATCTCAGCGTCAGGGCATTTCTGCATAGATATCTTCGAGTCTTCTCAGTGTATGACCTATTCCTTTGTTCGTACCTTTTTATAATAATTCTTTCACATTATTCTTAATTAGTTGTATGCTCTGAACATGTTCTTGCATTGGCATATTTCTTTCTAATTATATAATTTAATTTGCATGCATGTTTAAAATGGCCTTGTCACCCTGGGGTGTCGATCAACACGTGCCTATCCTAATATTTGGGGATTTCGGGGTGTGGGTGTGTCATTAAATTTGCCTTTTGCCCTAATTAAAATTCGATTTCTCAACCTGTTTCTCATATAACAGAGCCTATATAAAATTCGATTTCGTGACAACCATAAGAGAATGCAATGCCTGATCATGGAGATCACTAGAGATAGAGAGAAGGGTTTGGTCAGTTTGAATCAAAGACAATACCTTGAGAAGTTGATTCGGAAGTTTGGAGTTCATGATTCAACCAAACCGGTTAGTACCCCTTTGGCTCCTCATTTTAAATTGAGTTCTCTACAGTGTCCTAAAACTGATAAAGAGAAGCTGCAAATAAAAAATATACCATATGCAAATTTGGTTGGTAGTTTGATGTATGGAATGGTATGCTCTAGACCGGATATTGCTGCAGTTGGCATGGTGAGTCGATATATGCATAATCCAGGTAAAGAGCATTGGCAAGCAGCTAAGTGGATATTGAGATATCTCCATGGTACTCGAGATGTTGGTTTATGCTTTGAGAGGGATGACTCTGGTATTGGTCATTTTGCAGTTGGTTATGTTGATTCAGATTATGCAGGTGATCTGGATGGAAGGAAGTCTACTACAGGCTATGTGTTTACTATGGCTAAAGGACCAGTTTGTTGGAGGTCCATTTTGCAGTCGTCTGTTGCCTTGTCTACTACAGAGGCTGAATATATGGCAGTTGCTGAAGCTATAAATGAGGCCATTTGGATACATGGGCTGATTAGAGATTTGGGGGTTGATCAGAAGCAGGTGAAGGTACATTGTGATAGTCAGAGTGCCATTTATTTGGCTAAGTATCAGGTTCATCATGCGAGGACCAAGCACATAAATGTGCGTTATCACTTTGTTCGTGAAATTGTTGGTGAAGGGGAAATCATTATCCAGAAGATTCCAACTAAAGACAACCCCGCTGATATGTTAACTAAGGTTGTTGGTGTAGCCAAATTTGTTCATTGTTTGAACTTGGCTCACATTATGCCTATATAAAGAAGGCGTTGAGCAGTAGGAGTTTTGGAGCATTTGGCTCGGCATGAGTTGTTCTCTTGCTAGTGTTTGGGAGTGATGTTGTGTGTTATTGTGTTGGTTGGCTTATCATGGCTTTTTTTTCGGAACTTGGCCAAGGTGGAGATTGTTGGAGTATGTGGCCAAGTGGCCAACTTTTGGCTATAAAAAATTATAAAGAAAAAAAAAGAAAGGACAACATGATTATGTTTCCTTGTTTTATGGCTTGTTTGTGGCTTTTTCAAAGCAATAATATGTTTGGTTTCGGAGAAGAAAAGAGAAGAGGATGAGTGCACTAATTTTCAGTTTTAGTAGCCCATCTTTGAGAGAGCAAAGAGAGCTGCAGAGAGCAGAAAACTGAGAGCAGAAAGAGAAGAAAGAAAGGTGATTTCTTTCTTTGTTGGTACTTACTCAATCAAAGTTGTATTTGTGTATTAGCTTTGAGCTTTGTATAGAGAGGAAATTATTCACTATATTTCCCTCTCTATTTGTTTCTTTGGTGAGTGAGAGTTATTGGGTGTATTGGGTTATTTGGGTTGTGAGATTGCCAACACTTTGTAAACTCTCATTTGGTTGATAGTGGATTATTGGGTGAGCTCTTACTGCTCCAAAGACGTACTCCAGTTACACTGACTGTTGAGGAACCTCGTTAAAATCTTGGTGTCTTTAATATTTTGTTCTTGCATTTCATTTGATAAATTTCTTGTGAGTTAGCTTGAGTTGGTTCCAACGGGTTTGGTGCTATCCTAGCACAACAACCTGGATGTGGACCTTTAATATGGCATCCATCCAATCCCACCATTGGCCTACAACCTTCCAAAAAGCCTTTTTCAATGCTGGAAAGCATACATACAACCTCTGAAACCTAGCCCTTCCTCATTCCATTTTAGTCTTCACCAAAATTGTACTGCCAGGATTTCTTCGCTTGAGCTTCTCACAACAATCCCATAACCTTGCATATTGCTCCACATAAGCTCCTTCATTCTTCTCAGCTGCCAATGACCGTGCTTTATAAAGTTGAGCCAGTGTTACGTGCAAATTGTATTGTTTATGAACAGTTTGTTGGAATTTTGACACATCCCATTTAAGATTGTCAAGCAAATCCTCAGCATACCTATGTGATAACCAAGTTGAGGTGTGTAGTCTAAGCTTTTCCTTTCTCGGGCATGTATGGACATCATTGAGTGTCTTCACTATAAGTGCAGAGCTCCCATCTATTTTGCTTGCATAAATCACCCATGGGCATCCCTCATTTGAACGCTTACCCTGAACTTTATAACGCTCTCTTATTGGGAATCTTATTTGTCTTTCATTCACACAACCATAATATGTCACTGCTTGTCTGAACTCCTTTCTATTGGAAAATATCATTCCAGTTCTAAATTGTGGGTTCTTGATATTCAAATCACTTCTGAAAGGAATGAGTTTGGGCATTTTATTCTTACTTTTCCGCTTCATTGGTTGTTCACCTTCAGATGATGAGCTAGAACCACTTCTAAAGCCATCCGAATCTTCGTAGTCTGTTTCAACATCTCCAAATCCTAAATCAGGGAAGGGTTCAGTATTACGTGATGCTTACCTATTTCCATTGCATTTTCCATTGGTATATTTCCCTTTAGTTTTCTCTACATTGTCGTCAAATAAGTTGTCATCGACATCACTTTGTTCATAGTCTGAGTCTCGATAATCTGAATCTTCCGAATTGCCATTGCCATCTTTCTCTTCATTTTCCATGTTATGCATACCTACCTCAACAAGATTGTCTTGTTCCCAATCTCCTTCATAAGCTTGCTCCAAAAATCCCTCAAATATACCTAAAGGATCATACATGTGAGGAATGTCAAAAGAGTTTGTTGAAGCTTGAATTTCGATGTTCGGGGCTGACATGTGAGGAATGTCGAAAGGGTTTGCTGAAGCTTGAATTTCAATGTTTGGGGCTGAATTGATCAGTTGGTCATCATCAACAATGTACACCAGTACCACTCTATTTAGGGGCAATACAGTAGCTAGAGTCCAAAAATCACTATCAGCAACCATAGGCTTGTAAGTTCTGTCATTTGGCAATGTGTAATAGTACTTAGCAATCTTAGGGCTGGTTTGGTATTGCTGTGCTTTGAAAAAATTGCTGTGAGAATAAGCGGCTGTGAAATAAATTAGCAGAGTGTTTGGTAAACTTTTTTTGTAAAAGTGCTTTTGCAAAAAAAAAAATCTCATAGTGGGTATTTTCATTAAAGGAGCACTGTAGCTCTGTGTATTTTGAAAAAAAAACCAGTTTTCCAAAGCTGCAAATAGCAGCTTCAGCTTTTTCCTTTTATTTTAGCTTATTCTCACAGCAGCTTCCAAAATAAACTTTTTTTTTAGTTTACCAAACACCTAAAACCCTCACAACTTTTTTTCATAGGTGTTTTTTTTAAGCACCTCACTCCCAAACCATCTCTTAGTATACCCTAACTTCTTCGCACAATCCTCAATATCCCACTTGGACATTTAGATCGCAGTTCATATTGTCAAACCAAGCAACACGACCACCGACACAAGTCATTGTTCCATTACAGGCTTCTATAAAGTGACCTCCATGGTGCAATTGTAAATAATTCATATTTATTTGTACAAAATAAGTGATCAAAGTTTAAGCAATCGGTAAAATGACAAAACAAATAAACATTCCCTACTTAGATACAAAGTAACCATCAGCATAAAAGTGCATGGACATGAAAATAGGTTTTAGTACTTTAAATTTTGAGATTAAGAGTGTTCAAGTCAAACTTAAAGTCTGACTTGCCCCACAATAACCAACTTTCAATGAACGCCATTTATATGTCTAAAAAAAAGATAAAAACTCTCAAATTCTCGACTCAATACATAAAATGTTAAACAAGAGACCTTGTCCCAATCCAATCCACCCTCTGTAAACAAACCAAATCATGTTGATTTATGTCATCTTTTATTCCAGTAGGACTCTTTGTAATCCAATATATTTATACGCTGCCAAGGAATGAATATGAGCTACGGCTTCTACAATTCAATTTTCTTGTTACAGCTTTCTACATAAAAGAAATAAACAAAACACAGGAAGACATCAATATAAAACAAGTAGTCGACATTCTACGCACAACATTCTACACACAAACACTATCTATTCTAAAGTTGAGGATTGAATTGACTGTAGCTTAGCTACAGTCAATTGTTTGCCACTTGATTTTACTTTATTTATGCCATTGCCATCAAATTAGGGCTGGGTGGGTTAGTGTGTTTTAGGGGTTGGGTTACTTTGTTTTGGGCCGCCCATCATGTGTTTGATGGGCCTTCTTAGATTCTTCGTAAGGTCGGCCCTTAGGGTGCTAAAATGATGGAAATATCTATCTAGGGTTAGGATCACGCGGCTGAGATTAAAGGGATGCATGGCACTTTTGTCATCTTAAATCATGCTCTCTCTCTCTCTCAATCTAAAATAGAGACATGATTCAGAATTAACATTGTTAAAATGCATGAAATAAACATGTTGGAATAATGGTGAAATTAGGCTAGTCAACTTTCTTGTTCAAAGTTAGGCAAGTTAGGTTAGTCAAGCAAGATAGGTAAGTTAGGCAAAATTAGGCTTATGATATTTTTCTTCCCTATATATATGTTTCATCTTGTAATTGTTTCATAAAGCAAATATACATCAAAATTCAATATGGTATCAGAGCTGTGATCTGGGAAAAATCACAAAACACAGCTCTAAAGCAGCCACGAGGTCAACCATTCTAGGCATGGCCTCTCATTCAAAATGGGAAAATCCCAACCACCCGCTCTATCTCCACCACTCGGATCAACCTGGTGCAATCCTCGTACCACAACCATTGGTGGAAGACAACTACAACACTTGGGTTCAATCCATGAGTATGGCCTTAACGGTCAAGAACAAACTTGGTTTTGTTGATGGAACGATCAACAAACCAAGTGAGGATAATTTTGAGGAGCTGCAGCAATGGAATCGCTGCAACAACTTGGTCAATACATGGCTACTAGGCTCCATGTCAAAGGAGATTTCAGGGAGTGTCATCAACTACAAGGATGCTCGACAAATGTGGACCGATCTGCAGGAGAGGTTCTCACATGTGAATATAGTTCAGCTGTTCCATGTTGAGAACGAGATCCATGATTGCGTCCAAAGCAATATGAGTGTAAGTTCTTACTTCACTAAACTTAAAAGTTTATGGGATGAACGTGATACTTTGTGTTCCATTCTAGCATGCAGTTGTGGAACAAAGAATGAGATGAACTCATATGTTGAAACTCAGAAAACCATGAAGTTCCTTATGGGACTGAACGAATTGTATGCTACGGTTCGAAGCAATACTCTTCTTCTCGAACCACTGCCTACGGTGAACAAGGCATATGCGTTGGTCCTTCGACATGAACGCCAGGCAGAGGTTTCCAATGGGAAAAGCACACAACTAGAAACTGCTGTCTTTGCAGTGAAGAATCTGTTGCGAGAACCTACACCTGAAGACAAGGAGATGCGATGTGGAAAGTGCAATAAAACCAATCACATCACCAAAAATTGTCGTGCACATCTCAAGTGCACTTTTTGCGGATGGAAAGGCCACACCTTCGATTTCTGTCGAAAACGGAAAGCAGCCACAGAGACCGAATCCAATCGTCTCTTTTCTTCAAAGGGGAATCAAGTTTCACAAAGTAACAAGCAAGAGACAGTGCCTAATTTCCCGTTCTCTCAGGAGGACTGCAAGCAAATTCTTCAGATGTTGAACAAGAACAAATCATCATTTGCCAATCAAGTCAGTAATCTTCCTAGTCATGAAGAACTTTCAGGTAAAGCCTTCTATTTTTCATGTAAAGGAACCAAAAGTATTTGGATCCTGGACAGTGGTGCCACAGATCATATAGTTTGCAGTCCTAGTCTCCTTACACACTCACGAGCTGTTGAAAATCATACAGTTGAATTGCCAAATGGTTCAGTTGCCAAAGTCACTCACATTGGACAAGTTGTTTTCTCTCATAATCTTATCCTTGAAAATGTCCTATGTGTGCCGTTCTTTAGGTTGAATTTAATATCTATCAGTAAACTAGCCTATGATTCCTTATATGTCACCATTTTCTTCACCCAATTTTGTGTCATTTAGGACCTTCGCTCGGGGAAGATGATTGGGACAGGAACTGAAAGGGATGGACTTTACTACCTCGACCCATCAAAGAAAGGAACATGCAACAATATTCAAACCGTCTCACCAAAGCTTTGGCACCAACGCCTAGGACACCCATCATAAAGTCACTTCGTTATTACCTTTATTTAACAATAAGGCTTGTGATTTGGAAAAATGTTTAATTTGCCCATTGGCCAAACAAACAAGATCACCCTTTCCTTTGAGCTCTATTTCTACCAAATCATGTTTTGAATTATTGCATATTGATATTTGGGGTGGTTATCAAGTTGCTTTTATTTCAGGTGCCAAGTATTTCCTTACCATCGTAGATGACTACACTAGAAGCACTTGGGTTTATTTGATGAAACATAAATCTGACACAAAAGACATTTTAGTCGGATTCATTCAAATGATTGAGACTCAATTCAATACCATAGTTAAATCATACGAAGTGACAATGGCCCTGAGTTTAAGCTTGAGCAATTTTATGCTCTCAAAGGCATCATACATCAATCTAGTTGTGTCAACACACCACAACAAAATGGTGTTGTCGAACGTAAACACATGCATTTGCTCAATGTTGCTCGGGCTTTGCTCTTTCAAGCTTGTTGCCAAAACGTTTTTGGGGGGATGCAATCTTAACCTCAGCCTACCTCATCAATAGAACACCCACTCCACTTCTCCAAGGTAAAACACCTTACGAAAAACTGTTTCACAAAGCACCTAACTATTCCCATTTAAAGGTTTTCGGTAGTTTATGTTTTGCTTCTACACACGCCCAAAGGCCCTCTAAATTCGACCCCCGTGCAATCCAATGCATTTTTCTTGGGTATCCTTATGGTAAAAAGGGTTATAAATTGTTTGATATAAAACACAATAAGACTTTTGTTTCTAGGGATGTTGTTTTTTTTTAAGATCATTTTCCATTCCAAAATCATACCACTTCCGCTGCCCCGTCTCCATCAAACATTACACCCTCACCCATCACGTTTGACTTGACCTCTCCCATTGAGTCGCACTCAAGCCTTGCACCCGAAGAAATAAACATTACCTCTCCCACACTTGCCGACATCACCCCACTCTCATCTCCTTTACCTACTACAACTCCACCACCAGATACCTTATCAACACATTCACATACCCTACACTCTTCACCACCTCCAACCACTCCATCACCAGACCAACCACCTCCACTCCGTCGTAGCACTCGACCGACCAAAACTTCCACATTTTTGCAGGACTTTCATGTTGAGGTGGCCCTCCCTTCCCGTGTTGCTCCCACATCTTCCACAAGCATGGTCCAGTCATCAGGTACATCTCACCCCATATCTCGTTATTTATCTTATGACCATGTATCCCCCACTCACAAAACCTTTCTCACCACCCTCACCATTATCAAAGAACCCACCAGTTTTTCGCAAGCTGTTCAGGATCCAAAATGGCGTGACGCCATGCAAAAAGAGATTGTTGCCCTTCATGACAATCGCACTTGGACTCTTGTGCCCTTACCACCTCACAAACATCCCATCGGTTGCAAATGGATCTATAAGGTGAAGCTTAAACCTGACGGCAGTGTTGAACGCTACAAAGCTCGTCTCGTTGCTAAAGGCTACAGTCAAATTGAGGGGCTTGATTATCGGGAAACTTTTGCTCCAGTTGCCAAGCTCACCACCGTCCGCGTCCTCCTGAGTATTGCCTCCATACGAGGCTGGCATCTTCATCAACTTAATGTGAACAACGCATTTTTACATGGTGACTTATACGAGGAGGTTTATATGTCCTTGCCTCCTGGGTTCGGACGAAAGGGGGAGACACGAGTATGCAAATTACACAAATCCATTTATGGTTTAAAACAGGCCTCAAGACAATGGTTTATCAAGCTGTCTAGTGCTCTCAAGACTGCTGGTTTTCATCAATCATGGTCAGATTACTCATTGTTCGTCCGAAACCGTCAAGGCAGTTTTATGGCATTACTTGTGTATGTTGATGACGTGATACTTGCAGGTAACAATTTGAGAGATTGAAGAGACTAAACTCATCCTTTCCCAACATTTTAAACTAAAGGATTTGGGAAAACTCAAATACTTTTTGGGGATAGAAGTTGCAAGATCTAAACAAGGGATTGCCTTGTGCCAACGCAAATATGCGTTGGAGATACTAGAAGATGTTGGGTTCCTTGGTGCGAAGCCCTCACGATTACCAATGGAACCAAACCTGTCCCTTACACAAACTGATGGGACGCTCCTACATGATCATTCTTCATACAGGCGACTCGTAGGGAGGCTGATTTACTTAACCATCACGCGGCCTGACCTGACTTATGTGGTTAATATGTTGAGCCAATTCATGGATAAGCCACGACAACCACACCTTGAAGCGGTGCATAAGGTTCTCAGGTACATCAAACAATCTCCTGGATAGGGAATTCTTTTGCCTTCTACAGGTTCACTACAATTACAAGCCTTTTGTGATGCTGATTGGGCTCAGTGTAAAGACATTAGAAGGTCAATAACCGATTATTGTATCTTCCTTGGACAAGCACCGATATCTTGGAAAACGAAGAAACAAAGCACAATATCTCGTTCTAGTGCAGAGGCAGAATACCGTTTTATGGCTACTACTTGTTGTGAAGTTATATGGCTAAGAAACATTTTGAAGGACTTGCAAGTAAATCATGCACAACCAGTCACAATGTTTTGTGATAATCAAGCTGTCATGCACATTGCTTCGAACCCAGTGTTTCATGAACGAACGAAGCATATAGAGATAGATTGTCACCTAATACGTGAGAAGATTCAAATGGGAATGGTGCAAACAGCTTACATACGGACCTCGAATCAACCTGCAGACTTGTTCACCAAACCACTAAGCTCGGCACAATTTGAGGTCTTAATTAGCAAGTTGGGTGTCATCGACATTCACACTCCAACTTGAGGGGGAGTGTTAAAATGCATGAAATAAACATGTTGGAATAATGGTGAAATTAGGCTAGTCAACTTTCTTGTTCAAAATTAGGCAAGTTAGGTTAGTCAAACAAGATAGGTAAGTTAGGCAAAATTAGGCTTATGATCTTTTTCTTCCCTATATATATGTTTCATCTTGTAATTGTTTCATAAAGCAAATATACATCAAAATTCAATAAACATCACAAATATTGTTGATGCCACATCTTTTGTTGAGAAGTCATGAAACAAAAGACATGTTGCTAAGATCCTGAAAGATTGAACAAAGTTATTTCTATGATTATATCAGTTTTAAGATTACCCACTGCCCAATATTTGACACAGTCAATGCTTGGATGAATGGTACAAGACACGTGCATGAGGCAGCACAGAGGAAAATCCTTCCCGCTTCTTCCATGCTTTGGGTTCATAACCTCTGCGCTTCCAGCTCCGAACTCGGATCCAAAGGCCTCATGGGTATATTCGCTCACACTTCTCTCTCTTATTTCCCTGCTAATCATTCCAAATTTCATTTTTGTGTCGAATTTTAAATTTAGAAATCAAGGTAGATTACGACCATGTGTTACACATTTGGGATTTTGAGTACAAATAGTATTTCTATGTTTTCCCTCTTTGTTTTAGAGATAATCAACTGTTATTAAGCTGTTTTCGTAGTGATTAGAACTTCCTTCAGAACTAATGAATCAAGTGATAGCGAGATAAGCTAATCGAAACAGCAAAAATATGAAGGAAAACAGGTTCTGCTTTCTTAAGGTTTCAAATTTTTTAAAGTTTGGAGGCTTATGTGAATCTCTAACAATTGTTCGAATTGTTGTATCAAGTATGCATTATACATTCAATTGGGCCAATGAAGCATGTGTGCCAACAAATTTTGAAGAGTTCGGCTTGGTTTTCTCTCTTTGGTCTTTAATATTTAAGTGTGAGGCACCTGTTTGTTGACTAATTGAGTCCATTCTCTAAATTTTTAGTAGATATTGTGTAATTTGCTTTTATGAGCACTTCTTTAAGCTGTCAAGTTCCCAAAATGTACAAGGAGATATCAAGTTTAACAAGTCATGAACTGTGATCAATCCAAATGCAGTGAAATTAGGGATTTCACACTTAAAAACTCAGTTAGCTTTAGACCATAGGATTAGCATTTTGCACATGTGAGTATCATTGACCTGCTCATTTTATTTTTCTGGATAAGAAACAAACTGTCATTGAAGGGAGAAGAAAGTGTACAAAAACAAAGTTTCTGTAAGCTTGCACTCGTATGCCTAATATTTTAATTTCTTTTCTTGGCAGGTATTTTCTCTGATATTAGAGGCTATTACTTGGTGCTTTACGCTGAATGACCTATTTTTGAGAAAGGCATGGATTACTTTCAGGCATTTTCCATATACAATTGGATAATGATAATATTTTGAGGCATTTCAATTTATTCCACATGTGAATAGTTTTGAATTCGAAGTCTAGTTTTTCGATTTCAATCTGGCATATGATATTTGAATAGCAAAAGCATTTTTAGTGTAATTCTAAATTTTTTGAAGGTAACTAAGTAAAACAATATTTTGTCATTTTTCTTCAGGTAAATAAAACAATGTTTCGTAATCTTTTGTATGCAAGTACTATTGTCGATCCAAAGCCACAGGAAATACCATTCAAAATGGACTAAAGAAAAGCGATATTGTCGCTGGAACTGAATATGAATGGTTTCTTATAGCATGTATATCCATATATAACAAGCAAAGTTTCACTTCATTGGTTCTTAGGTGCTAGACCGTCTTTTTAGTTACTTTCTATGGAAATTATTCTTGCCTGTTGTAGATAATGGTTTCAAAACCCGCAGCAAAGTGCGGGCAAATTTTCTAGTTCAAACTAAACAAAGAACCAAATAAAAAACCATTCAATGTCATGGTAAAACGCCATTCCATCAAATAAGAATGCAAATAAACATAGAAAACGGGAGTAGCTACAACTAGAAGAATCAGATTTCTCATTGTCGTAGATAGTCATAATAAATAATTTCATCCAAACAGCCATAATAAATAATTTCATCCAACTTTATCATATAGATTGAAGGGTTCGCAATGACTCTATTCTTTAGTCATCTTCAATTTGAAACACACACAAGCGTCGTCGTTCTCCTTTTGAACGAAAACTCTTAGACCACGTATCGTATATCAGTCCCTTTTTGTAGCTTTAGAAACCCTATAATTATTGTGATCGAATGCAACTTAATAGAAGGAAATGAGGTGTTAAAATGACATAAATAACCCTGAACACAAGTTATGTGACTTTGAATGGAAAATTTAACAGAATTAGGATGAGATGACAAATCGATGATTTCGGAAAGTTGGTATGATAAATTGCTGAAAATTTTAATTTATTTGACAAATTGAAAAATATGTACAAGTTTATATGACATTTCAAAAATTTTCCCTTTTCCCAAATTATTACTTTAGTCTAAAGGGTGGGGTGGGGAAACGGCACTGTGCAATTTTAGCTCAATTTCACGTTATTTACGAGTTTGCCACCGGGCTGATTTCAGCCCAAATTTCGCTTCATTTACAAGATTGCCACTGGGCTTAAGAACGGGTCTTCACTCTTTGGGTTGGATTTGGGCTTTGACTCGGGGAGAGAGAGGGAAGGGCGACAGAAGGGTTGAGAGGGAGACGTTGGCCGGGATTTCGGGGAAAGGATTTTCGGGAGGGACATGCGGGTGGGTTTCGGGGATGGGAGGCCATGCCGCTACTTTTGATCCACGCGCGTGTGAGCTGCTTCAGCCAAAACAGGTGCTCTCTCCATTTTTCATCTCTTCCATACTCAAACCCTAGCAGCTCCACCTCTCTCTCCCTCACACAAGCAAACTCCATCTGAAAGCCGAAGAATCCAAAGGTAAATCCCTTCGAACTCTTCGATGATCAACCAGATTTCAGATTGTTTTTGGGATATACACTACTATTTCATATAGTGTTATTTCAAAAGTGTAATCCTAAGACCTATGCCTCTTTTGTAGGCACAACAGGGATTGTGGACTACACAAACTTAGAAGATATGAAGTATGCGGTAAGTCCTTTTACTTTCTCACTCCAGAGTCCAGACATTCATATTTTCTGTAACCTTCTATGAAGCATGGGTACTAGGTTGTTGAATATTGCTTTTTCAATATGTCGATGTGTCTGAAGCGTCTATAAGAATCTCAAACTTCATAAATAATTTCCTGCAGATCAAAAAGCTTGATGGCTCTGAGTTCCGAAATGCTTTTGACCGCCAATCTGTTCGCGTATGAATCTTACAAGTTGAAAATTTATATTCTTTCCTCCTGTATTTTTGTTTATCTTTTGCTCTGTTGGGTTTTTTTTTTCCAATAACTCAAAGGGCCGAAAGGTATTCCCTTTTCATATTCTTCTCTCCCAATTTATTTAGGGTTAATTTCAATTTTCTTATGCTATTTGCAGTGGTGCTTTTTAGGGTTTAACTATTTGATTTCACAGATTCATTTCGGACACAGCAAATAGTTACATTTTAAATTCGTATTTCAGAACTCGGTTGCTTGATTCTAATGTCAATTCGTTACAACATAAGTGAACTTTTTCTTTCAATAATTTAATCTGATGTAACTCTGTTTTTGTTCTCTTATGTCTAGGTTGGTCAAGGACATGAGGAGAAGAGCACTTTGGAAATGGGTACGAAAGGAAATAAACTTGCTGAACTGCATTGGCATCTATTGTTCTGGCTTTTCTTTGATAAGTTAACTTGCTCTCTCTTTGCAGTAAGGTGCACAAATATGGGAAAAGCACGACAGGGGAAAGCTGGGATATTGTTGTGGATGAGGAGACCTATTACGAGTAAGAGTCTGGACTTGGTTCTGGTTCTGTCTGCATATAGTATGTTGAAGCAGTCAAAAGGATTTCAGGGGAACCAAATATAAAGAATTTAGATTACATTTTCTGGTATTGCTCTTACTGTAAAAGTAATTTTGATCTTTCACTTTTTGATGAAGGGCTGAGCCGCATTACGGGTGGGCAGATGTCGTTGGTGACTCTAGCCAATTGCTGTCAATTAAACCTCGAGAAAGGCCACCTGGCTTCTACCCCGCTCTTGATTTTGGATCATCATCGCCTTCAATTGATGAACCACCAGATGAATTTTCTCCAATATCGTGCGGCTCAAAGGATTTTGTATGTATTTACACTTTTTGCGATTTGATCGGAGATCTCGATATGAACCGTTGATTTTGTATTTGTGTTTAATTTTCTGTAGACCTGTTGGTTGCATGTCCAAGAAATTCCTTTTTTAGGAATGTTCATTGTCCAAGTGCTTAATAGGTTTCTGAATCCGTTTATTTATCATTTCTCCGTCAATGATTTTGACAGGCTGGTTCATGAGTTTCTCTGTCTTGATTATACTTATCATCAGTGTAAGTGAAAAAAAAATATAAAGTTGTACTCCGAACTTGACTTTTGAAAAGATCACCACCAAGCTTTGTTTGATATTATGCACATATCTCATCTTTATTTGTGTGTCTGTTGGTTTCTGATTTTCATAGGTTGAAGAGTAAACGTGGAGATGCAAGGAGGTTGAGAAGGATCCGAACAAGCTTAAGAGGCCTGCAAGTACCTTATTCGTTGTCATGTACGTTTTGTTTTTCCAATGATTTAATTTTTGTAATTTTATATTTATGAATTTTTCGTTCAATTTTATCTGGGGAGGATGTTTTTGTCTAAATTTTTTTAAGATTTATATTCCACTTTGTTTCGATTTTTTGACCTCTTGGTGTTTCAAAGACACAACCCACATATTAATAACATTATCACCCTTAACTGTTAATTTTGTTATTGTTTTCAATTATTCTAGATAAAATTTGAGGCCAAAGTTCGCTTTTTTCAGTTTTTGCTGCTGCTCCCCTGCCTTCAGTAATGAACTCTTCTTCTCGAAATATCTCTTCTTCTGATTGTATAATGGTTTTCAATTGGATTCTCTCTGTTGGTTCTGTGTTAGAAGTTGGAAAATATATATGTTGCTTTTACAGTTCGATTAACAATTCTTAATTAGAATTGGCCGATTCTTTTACTAAGCATTCGTTTGTACTCATATTTCTAACGTTAGAGATTATTCTAATTTAAGATGGAAATTGATGTTATGAAGAACCCCTTTTCTCAATTTCTTAATTTCTGATGCAACTGAACATTTGAGATGGAGATTTAAGCTAATTTAAGATGGAGATTTATTAAATATATATGATGCAACTGAGCTTCTCAATTTCTTAATTTCTGAACATTTGAGGTACTCTTCTTCTTAACAACCCCTTTTCTCCACTTATCATCTGTTTGGTCACCAAGAGAGTGGAGAATAATTTCCTAAGTTCTCTTGCGTTGATTATTTAAGACTGAAACTAATGATGATTTTGTTGAGAAATAAGCTTTTAAATGAAACTAAGCTGCAGAAACAAAGTCCAGGGTAAGTTGAGGGGTTTGAGAGAGTAAAAGTGGGATTATGAAGGGTTAAAGAAGAAAGTAAGGGTGGGATTAGATGAAGGGTTTGATGGAAGCTAACTCTTAAATATGATGCCGTTGATGGATATATTCTTACACGTATTTGGAATACAAAGTAGTATAATACGTGATATATGTGGTTTATTCTTTCTATACTTTTTCTTATGTCTTTTGATGCCTTGGTCCAATTACCTTTTGAATTCAATCTGTTTTTTTTTTTAGAAACTTGGTTGCAAGAAAAAATTGGAAGGCAACATAATTGGAAAATTGGGTTACCACAATCACCCTCTAAACAGCAGAGGAGTCTGCATTTGACATTATTTTCGACTGGGATGAGAAGATTGGAGTCCCGAGAGCATTCATAATTAGAAATGAGCATCATAGTGAGTTTTATTTGAGTTCACAACTTACCTTTATGTGCATTTTTGGTTTGGCTCTTATTTGAAATATTTTTCTAATTGTGATAATTGTGCCTCATGTTTTGTTATAGGATTTTGATATTCTAATTTCTTCTCGATAAGATATCGATTTTTGTATAAGATTGGTGTATGTTTTGGGAATTTCGGGTTTAGTCATTTTTTGTGTACTATCACAAGATTTGTGCTTGCACTCGCTATTCTCTTTTGCTACATTTGTATATATATATGATACTGATGTGATTATAAGAAATATGAAAGTGACTTCAAATGCCCAGTTTATTTGAGTCTTATCTTTTCCGTGTGAATATTAATAATCAGACCAAATTCTTTGAACTAAGCTGTAAATTTTGTGGGTTTTAAAAATAAACCCTGTGAATTATGTGAAGTGGAATGAAATCATAGGTTTTTGTAATACATTAGGAAACGAACATTATTATGCTTTTGTAATATGATACTCTCTTAATTTTATTATGTATTTGCTTCTGTAATACGATGATCTCTTAACTTGCTTTTGCAGATCTTCTTTGGTTCCTATGCTAGCTCTGTGTGTCTCCGTCTTCAAATAATATAGTTGAAAATCATTAATACTCATGGAAATTTGAAAGGGTTTTGGTCTTTGGATGGGTATAAAATGTTTGTTGGTGGTTGGTTGTATTGCTATCAAATATTTGTTGGATAGTTTGGAATGGAGTAGTTGGTTGATTTATAGAAACTGAATACACATGGAAGTTTCGGTCTGTGGATTGGTTTAAACTACTTTCTTGACAATCAAGAGTATTGGAGGGAATTTTTGGTGTTCCATTTAATAATTTTTGTCATATTTTATCAATGTAAATGACACAATATTTCTTAACATTTTTGCATGTAAATAGCCCAAAGTTTCATAATCTTTTGTATATAAGTACTGTTGTCGACCGAAAATTACATAAACTACCCAAGTGGAATGTCTTGATCTAATATTTTATGTACATAGATAGCCAAAACTTCTACGATTTTTAAGTGGAGTATCAATTAAATATAGCAGTGAATTGTACAACTTTTATATCTTTCAAACATAATGCTTTTTATGACTTTTAATCCCGCAACAACGTGCGGGTAATAATTTCTAGTTATCTATTCTAAAGTTGAGGGGCAATTGACTGTAGCTTAGCTACAGTCAAATCTTTGCCACTCAATTTCACGCTATTTACAACAATGCCAGCCAAATGGGGCTGGGTTGGGAGGGTAATTCTCAAAAGTTGAGAGGGTAATTTTGTTGTTTAGAACGGATTGCGATGGGTTAGACGCGTGTGCTTTCCTCTCATCTCTCACTCTTCCTGTTTCTGTCCTTGTCTACTGGAAAACCCACAAGCTTTCATCTTCCTCTACTTTTCCTCTCTCTCCGCTGCCCATATCTCTCGACATGAAGCACACAAACCAAGTAGTGACGGTCGACAACCGCCTCCGGTGTCGATGAATTTGGCCGTCGGAAAGCGTCCTCGCTCCGATTATGGTACGTTGAATTTCTGGATTTTCCCTTTATTCGAGTCTCCTCTCTCCTTTTGCATTTGTTTAGGGTTTATAAATTAGGGTTCTTAGGGATTTTATGGTTTTCTCGCTTTTTTTTCTTCAGAAATTGCACTGTATTTCTCAGATCGGAGCTGTTCTTATTTTAAAAAAATTGGACTAGTGTTGATTTTAGCTTTCGTCACTCTGGTAATTACTTTGAACCCCCAAAAGATCTGAAATTTCTGGTAATTGTTCTCATTGTTTTTGACAATTTGTTGTTAGAATTTGTATAAATTGCTGCCATTGTGTTGTGAAGTGTTATGATTATTTCAAAGCACACCGATTCTATGTGATTATTTCAAAGCACACCGATTCTATCAATTGCAATTCTGCAGATGGCTAATGAAATAATGGCCTGCAAAAGGAAGGAAAAAAAAAAGCCTAGAAAACACCATCGGATGATGTTTTAATCAATTGAGAAAACTGTAATTACTCACATTTTAACAAATTAAGGTTTCTTATTTCACTTCTTTGCAGGAAGCTATTAATTCTGCATCATCGGTGACTCAATCCTTAAGCGGAGAAGTGGCTGACGGTCAACGTAAGCTCATAGCTCTTGCAGCTGCACGAGGAAACTCAAGTGCAGTAAATCGTGTGGTCACACAACTTACTAATGGACCTTTGGGTGGTCTTCATGAGAAGGTTTGTCCGATCTTAAATATGTGGATATGTAACTCCAAATGTTCAATTTTATCAACTGAGTGTTGGTTGGTTGGCTATTTTAATCATGAAAAGCAATTTATTTTAATTGAGCAAACATTATGCATGGACTTGGAACTTCTTCCTTTGAATTGTAGTTGGAAGGGTGTATGATAAATTGAGTGGGATTTGAGCATAAGTCGGTTGCCAGCCCAATACAACTGATTGCATCCTTTAAATTTAAATTGAGTGGGATTAATTTATCCACATTGTAGAATTTCTCATTATACAATTCTACTGCATTTTTTTTTCAAATTTAAATTTAAATTTTAAAATTTTGGTTTTGATTATGCAGTCTGTGGATTCCATGCTGCTGCGGTATATTTAAATTCTGCTTTCCTCCACTGTTTGAGCCTGGGCCTCCTCCACCACCATAGTGGTACATTTTATTAGGAGCCTACTTTGCATAAATTATTTGTGTAATTGGTTGACTTAAATCTTTATTTGATCTAACCATTCCAATTTGGCTAATTTGTTTTTTAATTTGAATGCTTAGAAAGATAGTAATTTACTTTTGTCTTTGATTTTTCACTAATGGCTAATGGCATGTTGTGATGGGGTTTAGTAATTTTCAGTATTCTTCAATTATTTTGAATTTGCAAAATCAAATAACTCATGGAAATAAATTAATATTTCATTAATCTGTATGTAAGAGAACTTTACAATATGTCATCAAGTTTAGACTGACAACAATGAATAGCAAACTTAGGATTAATGCCTCTATTAATTTGATATTTATTATATACAGCTGTCTTATTTATTGAACATGCCAAAATAGAGTTAATTCCTTGATTTATTTGATGATTTTCTCATTACAAGATGAACATATATATAGGGAAAGAAAGAAGACATAAAACCTAACTTTGCCTAACTTGCCTAACTTGCCTAACTTACCTAACTTGCCTAATTTACATAAAGAAAGTTGACTAGCCTAACTTCACTAGCCATCCAATACTCATGGCTGCTTTTAGTTGACACTCCCCCTCAAGTTGGTGCGTAAATATCTCGAATGCCCAACTTGCTGAGTGAAAGATGGAAAATCCTACTTGACACTGCCTTTGTTAAAATATCTGCTAGCTGGTCATCACTCTTCACATAAGGCAAGTTAATGGTACCATCAACCAACCTTTCCTTAATAAAGTGCCTATCCACTTCAACATGTTTAGTACGATCATGTTGAACTGGATTATGAGCAATGCTAATGGCAGCTTTGTTATCACAATAAAGTTTTGATGGCTTTGCAGAATTAAAGCCTAATTCTCTCAACAAAGTCCTGAGCCATAACAATTCTTGCACACCATGTGCCATACCTCTAAATTCAGCTTCGGCACTGGATCTAGCCACTACATGTTGCTTCTTACTGCGCCAAGTAACTAGATTTCCTCCAACAAATGTAAAGTATCCAGAAGTCGATCTGCGATCAGTTACTGACCCAGCCCAATCTGCATCAGTGTACCCTTCAACTTCTTGATGTCCATGATTGGAAAACATCAAGCCTTTTCCAGGGGCAGACTTCAAATACCTGAGAATACGTTGTACAGCATCTATGTGGGCTTCGCTTGGCCTGTGCATAAATTGACTCACTACACTTACAGCATAGGCTATGTCAGGTCGTGTATGAGACAAATAAATCAACCTCCCAACTAATCTTTGGTACCTTTCCTTGTTAGCCGGAACTTGATCATGATAGTCTCCCAATCTATGGTTTTGCTCAATTGGTGTGTCTGCAGGTTTACAAGCTAACATCCCAGTCTCAGTTAATAAGTCTAAAACATATTTCTTTTGAGAAAGAAAAATGCCATGCTTTGATCTTGCAACTTCAATACCCAAGAAATATTTCAGAGTACCCAAGTCCTTCATTTCAAATTCCTTGGCTAGATACTTTTGAAGTTTTTGAATTTCCTCGACATCATTACCTGTAACCACCATATCATCCACATAAACAATTAAGGCTGTAAGTTTACCTCTATCATGCTTAAGAAATAAGGTATGGTCAGCTTGAGTTTGCTTGAACCCATAACTTCTCATTGATTGAGCGAACCTGCCAAACCATGCCCTTGGTGATTGTTTCAATCCATACAAGGACTTTCTTAACCTGCATACTTTGCCAATATCGCAAGTGGTAGTGAATCCTGGAGGAAGATCCATGTATACCTCTTCATCCAAGTCTCCATGTAAAAATGCATTTTTTACATCAAACTGTCGTAGAGGCCACCCTAGATTTGCTACCAATGACATAAGAACCCTGATAGTGTTGATCTTTGCTACCGGAGCAAATGTCTCCTGATAATCAATGCCATAGGTTTGAGTATAACCTTTGGCTACCAGTCTAGCCTTGTACCTTTCCACTGAACCATCAGCTTTATGCTTTACTGTGAACACCCATCTACACCCAACAGGTTTCTTGCCTTCAGGAAGTGCAATCAGTTCCCAAGTGGAGTTTTTTCGAAGCGCTTCCATCTCTTCAATCATAGCCTTTTTCCATTTTGGATCTTTAAGAGCATCCTGTAACTTATTAGGAACTGAGACTGATGACAATTGGTTTGCAAAAGATATATAAGAGTCTGACAAGCGATGAGATGAAACAAAATTAGATATAGGATATTGAATACCCTTTGTAGAAGAATGACCATAACGAACAGGGGGTATCCCTCGATTTTCTCGAATAGGATAACGAGAACCCTGAGACTCATGATGTGGTTCATTTGAATCATTTGGATCATCACTTAATGAAATCTCATGATTGGACTCATCAAATATAGTAGGCTGAAGAGAGGGAGAATGAGTGGTTACCTCAGGATAATTCGTACGAGTAGCAGCTGATTGGTCAGAGAGTTGGTCAATGTGGGGATCTGTCTGTGGGTGGTCTATCTCATCATCCCTTTTTTCTTTATCTCCCTTTTTTCTTGTCCTCTCATACACCTTCAATATTTTTTCACCTTGTGCCTCATCATTAGGCAAATCACCGACATCAGACAAGTGTTCATCTAAAAAATGCATACCACCAATGCCAAGGGGCAACTTCTCTTCCTCCTTACTCCATATCTCCCCCTGAAGAGAAGTGGCCAAATCTTCTTTTGAAAAAAAAGCCTCGTGTTCCCGAAAGGTAACATCCATAGAGACAAAAAATTTCCCAGTGGGAGGATAGTAACATCGATACCCTTTCTGAGTAGCAGAATAGCCAATAAACACACATTTGATGGCTCTAGGATCCAACTTATCACGATTTTGCATGGGGACGTGAACATAGCAGACACAACCAAACACTTTTGGAGGAATATGAAGGAGTGAAGGAAGAGAATGATATTGGGAAAGGGTCTGGATAGGTGTTTGAAATTGGAGAACACGTGATGGCATGCGATTGATAAGAAAAACAGCTGTGTGAATGGCATCACCCCAAAAACGTTTAGGAACGTGCATAGCAGAACATAAAGAGCGAGCCACATCCAAGAGATGACGATTTTTACGTTCTGCTATACCGTTCTGTTGAGGAGTATGTGGACAAGATGTTTGATGAATGATACCGTGTTGTTGAAAAAATGTTCCAAGTCCATAATTCAAATATTCTTTCCCATTGTCAGATCGAACAACTTGAATTTTAGCATGAAATTGGGTTTGAATCATTTGATGAAAGATTGGAAAAATAGTCATAACCTCACTCTTATTTTTGAGTAAGTATACCCAAGAAACTCGAGTGCAGTCATCAATGAAAGAGACAAAGTATTTAGCACCAGTATAAGTAGGAATATGAAATGGTCCCCAAAAATCAGAATGAATAAGAGAGAAAGGAACATTACTTTTATGGGAACTTAAAGGAAATGAGACACGATGATTTTTAGAAAGAATGCAAGTTTCACAATGGAAATCAGAAACCTTGACTTTAGAAAATAAAGAAGGGAATAGATATTGCAGGTACTGAAAGGAAGGGTGTCCCAATCTTTTGTGCCATAACCAAATTTTTTCAGAAGCTTCAAATTGTTTGGCCTCCACTTGACAACTGTAACTTGTCTTCTCACAATCTGGTGGTAAGTCCAAGTAGTATAGACCTCCCCTCTCTCTACCATGACCAATCAATGCTTTCGTTCGAATATCCTGAAACCAACAATGGGTAGGAGAAAAGATGGCAAGACAGTTTAGTTGATTTGTAAGTTTACCAATGGAAAGCAAATTGTGAGAAAGATTAGGAACATGTAAAACAGATGAGAGAGATAAGCCTGGTGTTAATGAGATGGAGCCTGCTCCAAGCACTGGAGTAGAAATACCATTAGCAACTTTAACGGTATTTAAAGGTGGAGTAGTGTGAGAAACAAACCATGTAGAGTCATTGGTCATGTGGTCAGAAGCCCCTGAATCAATGATCCAAGGTTTATTGGGAGGAACAATTGTAGTGTTCAAGGCAAAACCAAAGTTACCTGCATCGACTAAGGAAGTAGAAGCAGTAGTAGGAGAAACTAAGTGAGCAGATTGATCCACCCGAGGTATGGAAGGCTTTGGTGTCAAGTGTGCTTGTGATCCACCAATGCCTTTCTTTTTATTTTCCTTCTTTTGAACCCACCAATCAGGATATCCATGCAGCTTGAAGCAAGTGTCTCTAGTATGCTTATCCTTGTCACAATAAGTACACTTCCTTGTATCAGTAGTTTTGGATCCACCTAATCGAGAATTGGAGATTCCACGGGGAAATCGAGACGGAGCAGCTACCATGGCGGATCCTTCCACTTGTGGGCCAACCAACATAATGGTTTGCCTACTTGCTTCAGTATTCACAAGAGCATAAGTAGCACGAACAGAAGGCAGAGTTGTTTGAGTCAAAACTTGACTGCGAACATGATCTAAATGAGGATCAAGACCAGCCAGAAAATCATACAATCTTTCTTCCGAAATTTCTGTCTCTCGGGTAGCAATATCATCAGCGCACTTCAATTTACCAGGACGCAAGAAATCAATTTCTTGCCATGTTTGCTGAAGTTTACCATAATATGCAGATAAAGGTTCTCCATTCTGGCGAGTCGCCAGTGCTTGACGGCGAAGTTCGTATAACTTTGATGCATCTTTTTCAATTGAGTAAGTTTGGGTTACAGCATCCCAAACATCTTTTGCAGTAGAGAGTCGGAGAAAAATGGCTCGTACATCTCTGGTCATGGAGTTGAGTAACCAAGATTGAACCATGGCATTCTCTTCCTCCCATATAGCATACAATGCATCAGCTTCTGCTGGTGCCATTTTTGTTCCACTGACATAAGACCATTTACCTCTGCCAGTGATGTAGATGCGGACACTTTGGGACCATGAGGAATAGTTGGACCCATCCAACTTGTCTGGGGTGATATGTAGAGACATATCACTTTGAGTAACAGTAGCTGAAACAGTGGTCTTGGAGTCACCCATTATTACTGCCTCAGAGGTTATGGGTAAATTTGTTGGGTGATTCCAACGGGTATGGTTTATGGGGTATTGGGTAGTATATTTTTTGTGTGGAAAGATTTCTGGGTTTTGCAGAGATACTGCAAATGGGAAGAATATGGGAAAAGATGCAGCGGAATATGTATGGTTAACAAGCTGGATATGGGTAATAATGTTGGCAGATATGGCCAAATGAAAAAGAGTAAGATTGGATTGGTATGAAAGTAGAAGACCTGCAGAATAGCAGGTATTGGTATGAAAGTAGAAGACCTGCAGAATAGCAGGTCTTATTGGGTAGATGGCAGTAGTGCCAGTAAGTGAATCAGAATAGAAACTCTTTTTGGATCAGAATGGCTCTGATACCATGCCAAAATAGAGTTAATTCCTTGATTTATTTGATGATTTTCTCATTACAAGATGAACATATATATAGGGAAAGAAAGAAGACATAAAACCTAACTTTGCCTAACTTGCCTAACTTACCTAACTTGCCTAATTTACATAAAGAAAGTTGACTAGCCTAACTTCACTAGCCATCCAATACTCATGGCTGCTTTTAGTTGACAGAACAACATCATTCATCCTCTATATTTAATATTACTTGCTTTTCTTAATCTATTTTTCCATCAATCTTTTCTGCTACGTAATCTCATTTGGTTTTTGATTTTGTGAAATGTTTTGGAAGCGGGAGTGTGTGAAATGTGCTGATGCTGATGATAGTGCCGAATTGGGTGACCCTCCTCAACTAGCAGAGCAGGTAACAGAGCTTCTTCCAACTCAAATTTAATGATTCAAGCTGCCTAAGATTTGCATAACATTCCCAAGTTGTGGTCGATGTGCCTGAGTGGTTGAGTGCTTGACTAATGAATGTAACCACTAAGATTTGGATTGTTTTTGGGGGTTAAGAAATAACATTGCTAATTTCGGATTTATGGGTTTGAATTTTTGTCAAGTATGTGATTCCGTGTTCTGTGTGTATTGATTGACTGATGAAAAAATGTAGCCATAAAATATTGATTTTGACAATTTTGATTATGAGATTGCCTCTTTATATAATGTACAATTTTTGTAGTTGCCTTCAATGTTATTGTCATTGGCTCGGGTGCTCAAAAGATCTATATACAATGTCGTTTTGCCAATAATTTGGGTATTGGGTTGAATATCATAAAAGTGAATATCTGTAACTATAGATCTGCAAATGTTTGGTAGATAGAGCAATTTGGGAATTTGTTACCAAAACATTGATGGATAACATGTATATCATTTTTTTTTACGTGAATGTTGAATGTTGAATGCCTTATCATTTTGGTTTTTAACATGCCATTGTTTATCTATATCCAAAATGAGTCTGAATCTTTTCAAATAAATGTTACTTTCTGATTTGAGAAACTGTAATTCACTTTTTATTGATCTTTTCCAGTATATTTGATTTACAGAGCTCTTGGGTTGTCAATTGTGACTGGAAATTCTACTCCCCACATGAATCATAGGTAAAAAATAGTATTTTCTTTTCTTATTACTTTTCCTTCAAATGTGTTTTATTTTGAGATTGTCTCTTTATATATTATAAATTTCCAGCACTTATGCAAACTTCAGAGCATATAGGAAAGCAAATATTTTCCATTTTAGGTACGACCTAAACCAAGTGAGGTGCATCAAGGATGAGGATGGAAAGGTTCTTGCTACAGAGAACGCGGTTAAAGACAGATGGAGAGGTTATTTTCATAATCTTTTCAATGAAGGACATGAAATGAGTGCTTCTTTAGGGGAGTTGAGTAACTCAGAAGAGTGTAGAAACTACTCTTTTTATCGTCGAATCCGGAAGGAAGAAATGGTTGTAGCTTTGAAGAAGATGAAGCATAAAAAAGCAATAGGCCCAGACGATATACCAATCGAAGTGTGGAAACTTTTGGGAGAGACAGGTATAACATGGCTCACTGACCTTTTCAATAGGATTTTGAAAACGAAGAAGATGCCAAATGAGTGGCGAACGAGCACTTTGGTGCCTATCTACAAGAATAAGGGCGACGTACAAAATTGCATGAACTATAGGGGTATTAAGCTAATGAGTCATACAATGAAGCTCTGGGAGAGAGTCATTGAGCATAGATTGAGGCAAGAGACACGGGTTTCGGACAACCAATTCGGGTTCATGCCAGGGCGCTCAACCATGGAGGCAATCTATCTCTTACGAAGATTGATGGAAAGATATAGAGATGGGAAAAAGGATTTACACATGGTCTTTATAGATTTGGAAAAAACGTATGATAGGGTCCCAAGAGACATTCTTTGGAGGATTTTAGAGAAGAAAGGAGTACGAGTAGCATATATCCAAGCTATAAAGGATATGTATGAAGGAGCAAAGATTGCCGTAAGAACTCATGAAGGACAAACCGAAAGCTTTCCCATAACTGTAGGATTACATCAAGGCTCATCCTTAAGTCCTTACCTTTTTGCGTTGGTAATGGATGAGTTAACAGGACATATTCAAGATGATATTCCTTGGTGTATACTTTTCGCAGACGATATAGTGTTGATAGATGAAACTCAGGAAGGGGTAAATGCAAATCTTAACCTTTGGAGAGAAGTGTTGGAATCTAAAGGTCTTCGCCTAAGCCGATCAAAGACAGAATATATGGAGTGCAAGTTCAGTGCAAATGGAGGCCAAAACGAGTTAGGGGTGAGGATCGGAGATCAAGAAATACCAAAGAGCGACCGTTTTCGTTACCTAGGATCTATCTTGCAAAAGAACGGAGAATTAGATGGAGATCTCAATCATAGAATACAAGCTGGATGGATGAAGTGGAAGAGTGCATCCGGCGTGTTATGTGATCGCCGTATGCCACTGAAGCTCAAGGAAAAATTTTATAGGACGGCAATAAGGCCGGCGATGCTGTATGGCACAGAATGTTGGGCGGTGAAACATCAACACGTACACAAAATGGGTGTAGCGGAGATGAGGATGCTTCGTTAGATGTGTGGGCACATGAGAAAGGATAAGATTAGGAATGAGGATATCCGGGGTAAAGTAGGAGTAGCCGAAATTGAAGGAAAGATGAGAGAAAATCGGTTACGGTGGTTTGGACATGTGCAAAGAAGGCCTACTGACGCTCCGATTAGAAGATGCGACTATGGGACAGAGGTTCAGGGCCGAAGGGGTAGAGGAAGACCTAGGAAAACCTTGGAAGAGACTCTAAGAAAAGACTTAGAGTACTTGGATCTAACGAAGGACATGACACAGGATCGAGCACAATGGCGTTCTAAGATTCATATAGCCGATCCCACTCAGTGACTTGGATTTTCCAAGTCTCCAACCGAGAAGTTTTCCTCACTCGGAAAATTAAAGGAACAGTACCCCAACCTACATGCTCCACTCAGAAAGCTTCAACATACAAGCTTCAACAAAAGAAAATTCAAAGAACTTAGCGAAGAAGGCTTTGGTGTATTTAACACAATACGTTGAAATGAAGGAAAGCTTATTTATTGATATCCCCGATAAGCTACAAATATGTACATATACATGAGTCAAAATAAACACACAAGAGGGAGCCTTCACAAAGGTTGCTTAGAAGAAGTCTCAGCAGTCGGTAGAGCCCCAGAAAGAGAAGGCACCGGAGGGGGATCATTTGGAGCCTCAGTACTGGACAGAACCCTAGAAGGAGGAGGCATCAGAGGTTGATCATTTGGAGCTTCATTACGCGGTACAGCCCCAGAAGACGAAGGCAATAAATGCCTTTGGAACAAACCCACAAATCTCTGATGATCAAGTAAAACCTGACCATCAGTTTCCTTCATCTGGTCAAGCTTCCTTTTCATGTTTGTAGCATAGTCATGTGCGAGCCGGTGCAACTGTTTATTCTCATGCTTGAGCCCTCTAATCTCCTGTTTGAGACTCATCACTTCAGCCGCCAATGATTCAACTTGGCGGGTTCGAGCAAATAGGCGTTGGGCCATATTAGACACAGAACCTGCACACTGAACACTGAGAGCCAGCGAATCCTTAACAGCTAACTCATCAGACCGTTTGGAAAGTAGTCTGTTATCTTTGGGAGTGAGAAGGTTCCTGGCCACCACCGCAGCGGTCATATCATTCTTCATCACGGAATCCCCAACGGTAAGAGGACCAGTAGGGGCGACAAAAGATGGGCGCCATATGTTGTCGGACAAATCAAGATCTTAGAAGTGCAAGAATGAAGCTTCTACTGGTGGAGATTCAAGTGTGCTTTGGAACTTAATGCCAGCCCCTATAAAAATCTGCACTCGACGGAGCTTCAGAAATCGAAAAGGCACCTACTCAGAAATCGAAGAGGCGTTTGCTTTCTCAAAAGCTGGGTTGCTTAGAGATCACGAGGGTTGATATCAGAAATCGAAGAGGTGTTTGCTTTCTCAAAAGTTGGGCTGCTCAAAGACCACGAAGGCTGATCTCAGAAATCGAAGAGGCGCTCGCTTTCTCAAAAGCTGGGCTCCCCAGAGACCACGAGGGCCGATCTCAGAAATCGAAGAGGCACCTACTTTTCCAGCCTTGTCAGCACCTGTCACACGCACACTCAGCTTTGCGAAAATTATGGGCATTCTGTCGAAGACTTCTAGGGAAGTAGAAAACACATGAATCTTACTGTTCAATCACCCATTTCCCACACGCAACAATAGCTCATGGGTACCACAGAAAACTTTGCCAAAGTTCTCTGCCAAAGTTAAGCACGTGAAGCTTGCAGCTCCCACTACATCGCTCTGACCAAGAAGGGTAAAATAATAGCAAAGAAACAGCACTAACAAAGTTTAAACCCATAAATTTTGAAGGTCTAGCTACCATATTATTACCCACAAGGGTAAAGGAACAGTACCACTACTGGATAATTGGAAAGTCCCTGTGTGTCAACCTCTGTGCTTTGTGGCAAGGTAGACTAGCAAACATGCCCAACCTTTACTCCCATTCGAGAAAACACTTCCAATAAGATTGGTTGCTCCAAAATCGAAGAGGCACCGTCCTCCGAATCTCGAGAGCCAGACTCCCAACAT